TACCCTGCAAACCATTTTTTCAGAGTATTCTGAATCGTAAAGAGTTTTTAAAGAATTCGGAAAGATCCCATCCGATTTTTTGCAGAATTTTCTAAAATGAAATAAATTACGCACACTTCCATTCTTTTACGAAATTTCGGAAGAAAATCGGTAAAGAAATGAAAATAATGCTGCTATATGAAGAATTTCTTGCAGACTTTTTTCAGAATTTTCTTTATTTTTCGTACAGAAATTTTTTTACGAGTTCGTGTCAACCACTTCATATAATTTTCTTTGAAGATTCGGAAAAAAATCGTTACAGAAATCAGATACTCCTAAAGATTTCGTTAAGATTCAAGATCAAAAATGTTTTCGCTACTAAAGTCGCTGTTGTGCTTTGTTATATTTAGGCAGCTTTGTAAGTGAAACAAAATTTTAAAAAGATTAAAATATTTTGAAAAATTAAAAAAAAAATCGATTTCATATTATTTTAATTAGGAAACGCTTTAGGTTCTTTTGGCACACTTATGTTGTTGTAGAGGACGACACAACGGGATCACAGCCGACTTGACCCATATTCAACGACTAACGGTTTTACTTAATTTCCTTTCAAAGAGGTGGTTAGAATACCAATCAAGAAAAAAAACGCTTGATACAATATCAGCTGGACCGCTGGCCGAAAATCACGTATTTTGATGCATGGGCTCGAGATGAACAGAGTAAACGTGTTAGATGACGGGGTGTTGAAAGATTGAATTGCACTATGGCCAAGAAAGAAACTTTTAAGCGGGCGGCTTTCGAAAATATATACAATGTCGGGGAGAGTACGTCCTCATGAGCGACATCTGTTTAATACCATGCGGCTTGGACTTAACGTTACGAAATTCGACTGATGATTGGCGTCTGCGCAGATAGCTGGTTATCCACCGTTCCGTACGACCAAAGAGCGAGGGTCGCGTGGGTCTTCTTATGCGTTGGCATAAACGGGTAACGCGTCACGAGCTGCGACTGCATCAGCACTGCATATTCGGCTTTTTCTATTTAGGTTTAGCTGCAAAAAAATAATTTATATGTATCTTCTAGCGTTTTTTCACTCTCGTCCTTGAATAGCCTTGCGGCCAACCAATCAGAGTATTGGAAAGATTTAAGAAGTCTGAGTTTAGCTCAGCTTTTATCCGCTGTAGCGATGCTCATCTTCCTTTATAAATGTTACCAAAACGCTACCATACCACGATTAATTACATGTTCTCATAGCCTCTCTTCCTTTTCTCCACTATCTTTCCCTCTTTCCGTTTTTCACCCTCTCTTTTCTCTTCCCATTCTCTATATCTCTCAATCTCAACCTCCATCTTGCACTCCCCATTATATCTTTCCCATTCTTCTTTCCTCTCTCGTTCTCCCTTCGTCTCTTCCATCTTCCGCACACTTTCTTTTTCTCGCTCCTCTCACACTGTCTCCCTTTTTCTCTCTGCCTTTATCTTTCTATATTTTTTCTCCCTTTCTATATTCTTTCTCTCTTTCTCACTCTTTTTATTACTTTCTCTCTCTCTCTCTTTTATCTCCTTCCCTCTTTCCTGTTGTCTTTCCTTTTCTGTTTCTCTCTCTTGCCGTTTGTCTTTCCTTCTCACTTTCTCTCTCTTTCCTTCTCTCGTTCCTTTTCTCCCTCTCTCTCTACACCCTCTGCTCTCAACTCCAATTAAATTTAGTGTTTACATTTTCGGCAGTGTTTAATGAAGAACAATAAGAGCATTTTTATACCCGAGCGCACTTGTGCACAAGGGTATTATAACTTTGTTCACATAACGGTTGTTTGTAACAGGCAAAACGAATCGAGATAGATATAGACAAATGTATACATAAATGATCAGAATGAAAAGAGAAATCGATTAAGCGGTGACTGTCTGTCCGTCCGTCCGTCCGTCCGTCTGTGCACACGATAACTCGAGTAAAAATTGAGATATCTTAACGAAACTTGGTACGTGAACTTCTTTTGGGCGTGGGACGGATGGTATTGAAAATGGGCGAAATCGGATAATAACCACGCCTACCTCCCATATAACGGTAATTTTAAGAAATACGAAAACTGCGATATTTTAGTAACTACTGAAGATAATTCACTCCAAATTGGTACTTACAATGAGTTTCAGACGGAAAACATGAATATTATAAATTTTTGGAAAATGGGCGTAGCCACGCCCCCTTATGGTTGCATGTGTATATCTTGGTAACCGCTGCACCAATTTCTTCTACACTTGGCACAGTTGTTGGCCATAGTACAGCATACTAAATGGCAGAAAATTTTAAAAATCGGACAATAACCACGCCTACCTCCCATATAACGGTAATTTTCAGAAAAACGAAAACTGCGATATTTTAGTAACTACTGAAGATAATTCACTCAAAATTGACATTTGCAATGAGTTTTAGACGAAAAATAAGAATATTACAAAATTTTGGCAAATGGGCGTAGCCACGCCCACTTATGGTTACATGTGTATATCTTGGTAACCGCTGCACCAATTTCTTCCAAACTTGGCACAGTTGTTGGTACTGGTACTTCATACCAACTGGCCGAAAATTTCTAAAATCGGACAATAACCACGCCCACATCCCATATAACGGTAATTTCGAGAAATACAAAATCTTCGATAAATCAGTAAATATTGAAGCTAATTTATTCAAAATTGATGATTGCAACAATTCTTTACCAGGAAATACGTTTATGACAAAATTTTGGAAAATGGGCGTAGCACCGCCCAATTGTGATCACATATATGTATCTCGCTAACCGTTCTAGCAATTTGTACCAAGCTCGGTATGGTTATTGTGCTTGCCACATAAAAGCAAACCGTTGAAAATTATTGGAATCAGATTCAAATTACGACCACTTTTCATATAATGGCAAATTTCAGAAATGCTTGAAACTTCAATATTTCGAAATTTAAGGACGCTAATTTACTTAAAATGTATACACCCCGGCTTATCATGTAGCGGTAGCTTTCGGAAAGGTGGAAAACATATATTTAATACTTGCGCCGGGTATTTAATGTTCGGCTCCGCCCGAACTTAGACTTTCTTACTTGTTTATTTTATGAACTATTTTCTGCAGTAAACTCTGTAAATGCATACATATGTATATTGTAATATATTGATTTTTGTATATTTACAATTTTTGAATTATTAAAAAAAGTTCAACGAAAAAATTTTGCAAAAATATTTTTTCTCTAAAAGCAGCAATTTTTCCGCCTTATGCATAAGCAGAAAAGCAAGTTTTTTATTTTTTAATTTGTTTATTATTTTCTATTAAATTTTATTTAAATTTTGAATTTTGCTAATTGGCTTGCAATGATTATAAAATATAAAAATCTCTTTAAAATTGCTTATATAAATTGCTCTTGAACGTGCTATTAAAGTGCAGTAAAACAAATTGAAACTGCTTTAATTGCATTCGCGAAGCGTGCTTGCGTCTTTGTATGGCAAGTGTAAGTATGTTTGTTCGAACAATAAGGCGTATCACAATAATATTTAAAGCTAAAACAAATGCATCTCTTTTTTCATTTTTGTAAAATTTGTAACTTTGGTAAACATTTTCAAGGATATAATTTTAGGCAGTTTAGGTGTATGTATGTATGTAGTAATACAATTTAGTTAAAGATGTCACAATGGTTTGACTAGAATCAAGGTGGGTTACAGTTCTTTGATGTATGTGTGTGTGAGTGTGTGTGTGTGTAGTAGTTGGCGCACAAACTAACTAAATCTCATAGAATGTGGGCGCTGATGTATATTCGTTGTTGTTATAAATGACTGTGCCTTCGTTGGTTTCGATAGTTTTGATAAGTGTCTTGCAGTAGAAGCACACTTTCGAGTTCATTAAATGTTGCATAATACAATTGCTACACGATTGATGTTTGCAGGGCGTGAAAATAACGGCAATTGGTTTAGCACAACATATTGGACAGAGTGAGTCCTCGGAAGGCAGTGTAATGTCTGAAAGCAGTGATTGCTTTAAGCGTAGCATATCGATGAGGCGGCGTACCTCATCAATTTCCAGCGGAGTTACATGCGTGGGATCTAATGCAAAAGAAAAACGAAACCGCTTTACTTAGTTTTGTATAAGCAGTAAGAGAAAGATTTACTCACAATCAGAGAGCGCAAATTTTATTATTGGTGGATCGGCGCGTATTCTTTTCGTTGATGTCGACGGCATTGGTACGCGTACATCATTTGTTAGGGGATCGATGTGTGCGCGAGTTTGCGGATCAAAATTACCACGCGGTATTTCGGCTTGTTGTAATATTGGGGTTTTTATTTCACCTAAAGCGAACTCCAAATTGGCAAACTGAAAGCTGGGATCGGTGAGAAGAGCACGTGTGAGGCGCGTCACCTGCAAAAGGGCATGCGAGGCTTGTAAAGGCCTACAAAAATGATATTTGCAGTGTTGACATTACCTTTTGTGGATTACGATCTGTGTCAAGTTCTGAGCGCAGCAATGCCAACAAAATACCCAGCGCTGCGGTAATGATGGGAAAGTGGGTAACAGAATTCAAATCAGACGAGCACATATCGACTATGAATTGAAAGCAACCTGGTGGCACTGTGACACGTGATAAAACTTGACTGATTAATTGGCACACACGATTCAATATCAAATCACTATTGGAACGTGTAGGTTCCTGAAATATTTCCGGCGCAATTGTGATAATCATTTC